CTTCCTTCAGACTATTATTTTTGGATTGTTATTATTATGTACTTCATTTAGACTATTATTTTTGGATTGTTATTATTATGTACTATATTTAGACTATTATTTTTGGATTGTTATTATTATGTACTATAAACAAACAACAACATCTCAAACAAACAACTTTTACATGGTAAATCAAAAGATAACAACAACATACCAAACAACAACATCTCAAACAAACAACAACTTTTACATGGTAAATCAAAAGAAATATAACAACTTCTACCACCTCTCAGCCACGTCTATTACCTCTACTTCCTCTTCTACCACCTCTCGTACTTCGTTGGCCACCACTCCCTCCTCGGTTGCTCCCACTCCTACTAGCTTGGCCGCCGCAAGTTGATGCATTATGTCCAGCTTGGTTACAGTTGCTGCACACTTGGTGTGATGCACCCTCCCTTGGCCAGTCCATCTCGTTGTGGATCCTTGTAACTCGTGGCCTCCCCGGCTTCCTAATCATGTGCACATTAGGATGGAGAATAGGACCATTATGTTTCTTCCAACCCTTAGGTTCACCAAGAGGTGCGAAACTTGTCCCATAACAAGCCATCACTGTTTCCAGCTTGTAGACATTGTTGACAAACCTATACGCATTAGCCCCCATTCGGTTGCAAGCTGCAATGGCATGAGAGCAAGGAATTTTATTTTCTTGAAATTTACCACAAGTGCAAAATCCTGCCCGGTTTTGATCGTCAAAGTGGACTGTGAGTGTGTTTGACCCTGTCATGTTGAAATTGTTGGGAGGAGTCTGAACTACATAGATGCCTTGACCTCGATCAAGAGCTGTCACAGAATGTCCAATTGCCTTTTGTGACCTGTACTTCATCAGCTCTTCGCACTTGGTGGAGTACTGTGAACCGCCACTTCTAATTTCTGCTCTTGTCTCCAACCTATACATATCGAATTTCTCCACCAATCGCCAATAGGTATGCTGCACAAGAGAAGCTATCGGAAGTGCACGAATACCTTTGAAAACACCATTGACGCTTTCTGCCATGTTGGATGTCAGGATAGACCAACGACCCCCACCATTGTAGTTATCATGTGCTAAACTCCAACGAATCTGATGTTGATCCACCCAGTTATCACATGAAATATTTCTATCAGCGGCCACCTTCTTAAATTGCTCAACTTGACGATCAAACTTCTCCAACCGTTTTTCTCCGGCTAACAAAATAAACCACAACACGTGTTAGATAAATTCATGACAAAATTACATGAAAACAAATAACAAAATTAAATGAAGAAAGCTTACCGACTCGAAATAGTTGATTATACATAATTTTGCTTCGAGTCTTCCTTTGCAAATTGCTTGCATAGTGTCGCATGCACCACCTCCACTCCCAACCTCTTCCGATGTTATTCATGGCTTCATAGAGTCCTGCATGTCTATCTGAGATGATGCATACATCATTTCGATCAGTCAAACCCTGAACCTTCCTCATGAACCATGGCCAACTCTCAGTATTCTCGCTCTCCACTATGGCAAATGCAATTGGAAAAATCTTCCTCCGGCCATCAAATGAGCTCGCCATGAGTAGCACTCCTTTATACTTCCCAGTAAGAAATGTTCCATCCACAACCATGACGCCTGGACAATTCTTGAATCCATCTATACAAGGTCCATAAGCCCAGAATACTCGCTGAAATATTAAATGACCAGGTTGAGTCGAAGGAACTGTTACCCAATCAATCACCGATGTTGGCATTTTTCTCTTGACCACCCGCAAGAATGTTTGCAAAAAATCGTAGGATTCTTCCCAATTTCCATGCAACTTCTCCAATGCTCTTTGTTTCCCATACCAAGCCTTCTTGTAAGTAACTTGCATATTAAACTTATCTTTCAACTCGGCTTGAACAGTTAGAACACTCAGATTTGGTTGGGCACGTACCAAATGTTTGACGGCCTCAGATATCATGTCGACATCAAGATGGCGATGATCCGTCGGTTGAGTCGTACTGCTACAAGAATGCACCAACTCAGCTTTTCTCACAGTCCATTCGCCCCCAACATCTCGACATCCAAACCGCACCATCCAAGGATAATTGTCATCCTTGTGCCTCAAACATCTGACCTTCCATATTGAAGGTGACGACTCCACCACGCCATATTGAAAGTTGCGTTGTAGTGCGTGGTGTTTAATCGCCATCTGTGCAGCTTGTTTCGAGTGAAATATCTGCCCCTTGTAGAATTCTCCTTCAAAACTATCAACAATAGGCATTGGAATTACGCCATATGAATCAGCAAGTGCAAATTCTTCGTCATCTTCATTGCCCTGCAAGTAAAAATATGGAGGATAATTAAGTTGCTCTCCTTCCTCCTCCTCCTCCTCCTCCTCCTCCTCCTCATCTTCCTCCTCTCCGTCATCACCGTGATCATAGTCATGATCGGATGGCACGCTCCATGTATCATCTTCTTCCTCTCCACCCTGATCATCACTGAGCTCAACATGTATCTCAGCACCCAAACAATAAGGATTTTGTGCCATAAAATTCCAAAGCACATCCAAGCTATCATCATCCACAATAGGTAACGCATAATGAAATAAAACATCATTCTGCCATTCTGGAAGACGGTAAGTGAAACCTGTGATCACATCACTATCTTTTACTGCTTCGTCTCTGCGCCGTATTCTCGGAATTAGAGTCTCACAAAGTTTGTGATATGTGACTCTGGATGGAACCGTCAACTGAAAACTACTACCACCAACGAATTTGACACCCAAATTATCCTCTACTTTCTCCGATTTCCACCGAACAACTAGTTCAAATCTTCTAAAATCACTACAAAAAAACAAACTCACTAATTAAAAACTAAACACAATCATAATAGCATTTGAATAATATAATTACAAAAATAAATGTGTCTCTTACCTAGCCATTTTTGCAGCAGCAACCAGAGCTCTCTCCTCTATTTTGGACGATTTTTTTTGTGGTGTGAATCTGAAACGAAAAGTCTGTCTGGGTTTTATAGGGTGGGTGGCCAATCCACCTACTCGCCTCAGTCTCGGGCGCCACCGCCGGAGTCTTAATTTCCCACCTACTCGCTTCAGTCTCGGGCGCCGCCGCCTGAGACTCGGGCGCCACCGCCTGAGTCTAATAAAACGGTCCAAAAACCAAGTCTTAAGCGGCGGCGCCTGAGTCTCAGGTGTACCCGCAGATTCTGATGTATAAAACACAATATCTTTGTCAATAGTTATTAATTGGCCATATTCGTGGTAAATTTAAAAAAAAAACAATATTTCTGTCATTGTCCCGAAAAAAAATAAAAGCCTGATATAACACAAAATAAAAACATAAAATAAAAGCATAAAGGGTTAGCAAATTAAAACGCTGAGTTTCATTTAAAGTGTGTAAAATGACTTTATCACCCTACCGAGAAATGCTCTAAGAGCAGGAAAATTCAAATGGAGAAAAACCCATCCTTGAATCTCCATTATATATTGTTTAGATGACTACTAAAAACATCATTATATAACAATACAAAATTAAATCATATCAAAAAATAGCTTCTGTGTATGTTGCTCAATTTTTTTGCAGAAATTTGAAAAGGGAGGGGGTTACGTTTTTCCAACTTCTCGTGGGACGGGTATGTATATGAAAATTGGTCAGCATTCACCGCATTTGTCCACAGCGGTGAAGGTAGTCACCGCGTTGCCCTAAGGCGGTGAACGTTAGGTGATTGTGACCTAACTTTCACCTGTCAGGAGTGGGAAACGTGAGAAAACTATCACCGTCGTAACCTAGAGCGGTGAAGGTATTCCCCGCTTTGCACGAAAATGGTGATCAATTCACCGTTGTTCACAAACACGGTGATTGCTTGACCGCGTAAGTAAAACGCGGTGAACCTTTCACCGCTTTAGATAAACACGATGATTTCTTCATCGTTTTTTTTAACGCGGTGACTTATTCACCTTGTTTGTCTAACACGATGATTGCATTCACTGCCTTAGACAAAGGCGGTGAATGTGAAACATGTGTAGATTGGGAAATTTTTTTATAACTTATGTATTTTTGAAATTTTTTTATAACTTATGTATTTTGGAATTTTTCCTAATTTGCTACACTTTTTACTCGACCAACTAGGCAATCGTTGCCCTAAAATAAAGAAGCGAGAGATTGAGAAGAGAAAGATAGAGAATCGGCCTAGGCCTTTAGAAGGATTGAGATATAGAATTGAGAGGGTTGGGAGATTGGGGTTTAGGAGAGTTTTCTTAATATTCTTCTTGACTGATTCTGAATAAATTGCAACGTACATACTTATAGCGAAAGACTAGAAAAACATAATAGACTATCCTAATATGACTCAAACACTTAATAATAAAAATCCTCCTAACAATAATAGTAATTATAGAAACTGTAGGTTTCTATCATCTCCTCCCCCTTGAGACCAACCTTGCCATCAAGGTTGACCGACTCGACCCACTTCCACACGTCGTCCGTACAAACCGCGTCGTGTCTCCTCCATCTCTTGCGCTTCCTTTTCTTCCAATCATGCTCCAACTCTTCTCTTAACCTTATTTCTTCTATCTCTTGGTGCTCTTCCAAAATTGTGAATTTCATTGATGTCGGCCTCCTCCTTGCCTCCTCAAAGAATTCAAACTTTAATAATGCCTCTTTCGCTGTCACCGCCCTACAGCAACTCAAGGAACACAATGATTCATTCATGTTGAAGAACACATCATTGAGTACCATTTAGTCAAGGCCTTCATAAATTCTTCTTGGAACAAGCCCATAACTCTGATTGGTTGCTTCTCCAATTAATATTGGGTCATGCTCTCTTAAAAGCCCACCAGCTAAGCATTCAACCTCTTCTTCCAAGCCCGCCATCTTCAAAGTGCTTCCCACGTTGGGTTAAAACCCTTCCTGAATCAGCCCAATACTATAAATAGAGCCACTATTAAACTGCCCATATATGGGCCGAGACTTAGCCTTTGTGAAGCCCAGTTCACTCCCAACTTCAGCCCATGAATGAGATTGTATTTTGTCATCAGAAGGCCCACTTGATTTGGCCCACACAAAACACAATCTGACCCACGTGAAAACCAATTGTGACTAGGCTTTGGCCCACAAGAATTGTAGGGTTTCACTCCTGGAAGGGAAAAGAGGGTTGTTTTGCCGCATGAGGAAAAACCCCTTCCGTCGCCCTCCTTCTTGTCCTTCCTCGCCGCGCTGCCCGCCATCGTCGTCACCCTCCCCACCGACCAGCAATCCGTCCTGAGACTCGCCCTCCGCCAACACCTTGCCCCGCCTGATTCTGCCGTCTCCTCCTTCCTCAGCGGCTAGTTTCCTAGCTGACGATTGGAGTGCAAACCCGGTAAATGGACGCTCGCCTGCTGTGCCGACTTCTGGTCCGTCGTCGCCTCTCCAATTGGGGCTGCCAACGCTGGTGGTGCCTCTCTTGCGACTCGAAATTCCGGTGAGTCGGCCCGGTCCTTCATAATCTCCGTTGGAGCCGCCAATGCTAGTGGCGACTCTAACGTTGTTCGCGACTCCGGCGAGGTAACCTGGTCGCCTGTCGCGAAGGGAAAAGAGCCAACATCCGTCGCCGACCCCTCACCGCCGTTGTAGCTCTCCTCCTCGCCTAGCAGCGCCCGCGATAGCTCGTCCTCCATTGGCGACGCTGTCCTTGTCACCGGTCCACATCGCCTCATTGTAGCAGCATCGTTGGCCGCAGTTGTGAACGCAGCAAATGTAACACCCAGACATATATTAAAACATTCACATGATCGTACCGATTAAAACCTTTTACAATTTTGTTTAGCTTACAAAACCAAACCATAATTTACATAAACATTTAAAACTTCTAAACACATGACAGTAGAGAAGACCATCTTCTCTCAAAATACTATAAACAAGTCATGTCGGAGTCTGAGTCCACCATCCCACCTCATTGATGTCGAGCTGAGCCTTGCTGAGTTTCCTTGATTTCTAGTCCAAAACTTCTAATCTGGGGAAATTTTTTTACGGGGGTGAGACGTCACTCAATGAGTAAAAGCTAACCTATCAACAGTATCAATACAAATATAATATTTGGTGAATTCAAACCCTATGCTTAATCTCTTAGTTTCCCGAGATAACCAATTTCAGTATTCACCTTGCCAAGGTATACCGTACATGTAACTATGCACAATTCAATGGTCAATCACACACACACACACACACACACACTAGTACACTCATTCATACACACACATAGGGTTAGCCAGATTGCGTGCCTTTTAGCCTTTAAATTGCCAAGTCATGCACTCCCTCGGGTTTATCCAGTAGATGCATAAAGCACCGCCAATAGATGCATAAAGCACCGCCTAATAGATGCCTTAGGCACCGCCAATAGATGCATACAACACCGCCAATAGATGCATTAAGCATCGCCAATGACCAGGCCTGGTATCGCTCTCCCAGAGAGCTAGGCATAAAGCCGCAATATCATATCTCATAGAGTGCATGACAGGCGCCATTAAATTTGATTTAGGTGATCAGAAAACTCTTTAGTTAGTCGCAAAACAAGTAGTAGACAGTATGATCAATCATTTAACACATATCTATTCTCGTATTCATAACATTCACATAGTCACAATCATCATTCCATATAAGCGCATCATCGTCTTATAAGCTTCACAATTCCGTCGTACAAGCTTTCCAGCACTATAATATCTCCTTTTAGGCCATTTCATATCACATATACGTTTCTTTCCCCATTCACAATAATCATCTATCACGTTTCACACACATATCACCACATAGTCACACACACATCACATTCACCCATCATCCATCACATATCATTTCATTCATACACATATAGTCATAGCCATCTATTAAACCCACATTTTATATTCTATACTCGGGCCGCTTAATGACCCGAATACCATATTTGTATCCATACGATTAATAGGTTAGAATTTACTCACAGTTTGGTTGCTAATCCGCAAGCCATTTGCCTTTTGAGGATTCCCCGGCTTGCTCCTTGCCTTTATAAAGTCAATATAATAATATTTAATCACTTGGAACAAGTAGGGAATCAATATCGTTGATAACCAACTCAAATACATGCAAATCGGGATGTTACAGGATGAAATAGTATAATCTGTATAGGTCACGGCCGTGTCGAGGGCGTGACGTGCCAGTGACCTAATTGTAGGTTTATGGTCGAGACTGACATTATACCCTAATTCACTATTTTGGTCATTTCTCTATCGATTCTTAACCAAATTGACTCATTCTTTTTCCTAATTAAACTATATTCACATGGCTATAACATATCCAAAATTAAGATCATTTAAAATAGTGGTTTGGGCTCGGCACTCAATTCAAGTTGACGGTTCAATACAAATTCTGCACTAAGTGATCCCATGACCAAAATCTAATTCATACAGATGCACTCCTTCAAATACACCATGCATCATGATCCTTCAAGCATTTGACATGCTAAGTCATACTTAAATACGCCCATAAACTTTTCAACCCCCAAATAAAACTACATATGCATGCATGCTTATTTAAGAGATCAATTCCATCACAATTCCATATTAACCACATCTCTCTCTTTCCTGCTTCCCTCACGGCTTCAGCTAACAAGAGGACTCAGCCCCCACACTCATTCAATCTAAATAAAGAAGATGCAAGCTTAAGCTAGTTTTACGCATGCATAAAAGATTCCAGAACCGAGTAGTTTCATCGTCTCAATGTTATTATCTCTTAGCACCAATATCATCCCTTCACCGTAAACCTTACATACTTAATTAGCTAGGAAAGAAGATCACCATACCTGATATGATCACAATCCCATTGTTAAACCCCTCTTCTAGCTTTACTCTTTGGAAAGAAAAACGATGGTGGTGTTATGGATGAGAGGAACTAGCTAATGTGGCTATCCCTCTTGATAGAAATGGTTTCTCTCTCACTTATCTTGGCCACCAGAAAGTGGTGAGAGTGGGATCAGCTCCCCCTTTTCCCTTGAAGAACCCTTACTGGCGTGCTTAGTCTTCGCCACCTAAAGCCCACGTGTTGGAAATGATCCTAGTGAGGGCTGTGTGATGTTTGTGGTTAGAGGAATGGTTGGGAAGGTCAAGGTGGACAAGGTAATAAATTTTCATGTCAGCCACTCTCCTCTAGAAATTACCAGGTTTCCTCTCATTCAAATTAAAGTGGGTTTGAATCTAGGCCACCCCTTCCACACTAACGATGGTGCGGGTGAAAGAGTGGGTTTGAGTGAGGATCCTCATATCAGGTGGAAAATGGGATTACTAACGTACGGGATATGAGGTTCAATTGTTTTTAGACGAACATGAATTGGAGTTAGCACTCTCTAATAGGAAGCCATAACCATTACCATATAGCTCATATAGTCTTGGTATAACACAATAAATATGTATACACTTTATGAAGAAGAGGATGTGACAGCAAAAGTCGCGGCATCGGCCAGAATCGGCCAGCCGCGCTCTCACGCCTCTCGATCAAGCTCGGCAAGGGATTGATGGAGCTGTCGCGTTAGTCGAACCCTTTCTGGGTCAGAGAGTTGTGACGAGCTCATGTTGGCTCTGATACCAAATGATAAAACCTGGGATTAGGGTTCTATCGAGTCTAGACGTGAGATTGGGATTCAGGGATTAATAACAGAATTAGGGATTTGAGAAGAGAAAGATAGAGAATCGGCATAGGCTTTTAGAGGGATTGAGATCTAGAATTGAGAGGGTTGGGTGATTAGGGTTTAGAAGAGTTTTCTTAATATTCTTCTTGACTGATCCTGAATAAATCATAGCGCACATACTTATAGCAAAAGACTAGAAAAACCTAATAGACTATCCTAATATCATATGACTCAAACACTTAATAATAAAAATCCTCCTCATAATAATAGATTATAAAAAACGGTAGGTTTCTATCAGAATCCCCTCCTCCATTTCTTTCGCCGCCGTTGCTTCCGACACGCCGCCCGATCTCATCACAATGTTCCTCCAATGTCTGCCGATTACAACCTTTCTTGGGCTCCGGCAGGTCAGTTTTCCACTCTCCACACTTTGCAACACATCTCTTTTCAAATTAAGAATTGAAGCGCTTTCTACCCTAGTGTAGTTTATTTAGTGTTCTTGCCTCGTTAACGTTAGGGCATTCAGATAGAAACAATGATTCTTGATAAGCTCAACTAAGAGAAGATGATTCCTTTGGTAATTAGTCCAGGACAAGTAGCATACTTTAACATTCTACATAATGACCCAAGCAAACAATTGATGGTGAGCGATCAAAATATAGAACAATGCCCTCTTTCGATCACTGCTCAACAGACCTCTTGTCGATGCCTGAATCTTATTTCTCAAAACATCAGGGCAGGACATATAGTTCCCAATCTAGGGAGACCTCTTTTCGCTATGAATTAGCCACTGAAGAATACCCATCTCAAAGACCTCAACACCAATCCTGTCTCCTTACTCTGATGCTGCATTGCACTAATTTTCATATTCATTTTTGTAGCTATGAAGATATATCTGTGTAGTTCCTATCCGTGCGCCTTGTTGACACTGTCTTTCAATTCATTCCACTATTGACAAATTGTTTTCGTTTTTCCAGCTTTTGGGACAATATTCAACTGGTTTAGAAGTTGAAGGGTTTCATCTTCTACAAAAACTTCTGAAGAGTCTGTTTGCCATCAGAGTTATATAATGGCTGCATCTGCTAAGGTTCTTATGCCTGACAAATGTGCTGAGAGCCACGATGGATGGACAATAGTCTTGCCTCGTGGCAAAAGAAGGTGTAAAAAGTTGGCTAAAATTGGATCACTGGGAGAAAAGGAAGGGATAGTATCATGGAGTCCAACTGATACCGAGTCCAGTGAAGACATGCAATCAAAGCTGAAAAACAAGATGGTTGGCTGTATGAAGAGAGTTGAGAGCTCATTATTCTGTCAAAACTTTTTGGAACATATGCAAACCCAACAAGTCATGGACTGTTTCCGCAAGGTTCTTGAGGGCGCAGAGCAGAAGAAGATGCAGATGGTGGTATATGGCATTGGCAGCATCGAATCGCACGACACCCCTTGACTGCAACTCAGCATTGCCCTCTTGATAAAGCGAGAGTTCAGTTGGATTGGAGATTTACAAGTGTTTGATCCAATCCTTTCTGGAACTGAGTGTCGAGTTCTCAAAGCTCTCGGCTGCTCTGTTCTCTCTGTGAACGAGCAAGGTCGACACCGAGCAATAAGCCCGACTTTGTTCTTTATGCCTTGTTGTGAAGCAGGGTTGTACAACAACCTTCTGCGGGTGAATTGGGATGTGGAGGCAATGCATCGAGTTGTGCTGTTTGGTAACAGCTTCCAGCTGTATCGGCAGTATGCTTCGTTCAAGAACCTGATCATGGTGGATTCAAGTCACATTTTGGCTGCTGAAAATAGCACCGACGAGTTTGTGCTGAGTAATGTGTGGGAAGATTATTTTGCAGCTTTTAATGATTCAAGTTGGCATTTTATCAGGCCGTGTCGAACGACCGACCTGTAATTTTTTATAAGAAGTGAACGCCAGTGGGTGGTTCTTCAGTGCCCGACTGGCTTGACCTTATTATCATTGGTAGGATGCAGCTTTTGTCCCCAGCATTTCATAGATTGAGTTGCTTGTTTACTATGAATGACAATTGGTTCAGGTGGGAGTTTTTCTTATACTACTACTTCCTGATAGAAACATTATCTTCTTGCTAGTGATCATTTTGTGAATCTCTGTCCATTAATGTTTGACAGTTATAAATACATTTCCTTACCGTAGATATGTCAATGAGAAAGAGATTTCGAGAGCTTATTCATTTGTTTCTTCGGCGTAATCCAAAGGATCAAACCAACGGAGCTCCTTTTCTGAGTGCTTCTTGAAGTTCTGTTTGACCCAAGCGCAGTTTACATATTCCTTAGTATTGCACTAGTTAGTACTGTTATATCCGCTCAAAATGGTGGGGAAAATCCCATAATACTCTAATTATTAACAAAAATTCCATAAATACAGTACTTATAAAGTTATTTCCCAAAGTACAGCAGGTTCAACATCACTGTTGAATACAAAGACAGTGATTATATTCACCGTTTTAGGCTAAAACGGTAATAACATCACCGCTTTTGACCAAAGCAGTGATGCAATCCCCGCTGAGGAGAAAAACGGGGAAACAATCCCAGCTTTCGTCAACAACGGGGGATCTTCTGAACGTTGATAAGGGAAGCGGTGAAAGCATCCTAACCGTTGATGTCAAAAACAGTGAAGTGGCGCAGATCGCTGACGTGGACACGCGCGAGCACTTCACCGTTAATGACAAAAGCAGTGATAGCCCCGCTTTCCACGTCAGCGATCCGCGCCACCCGCGCCTTCACCGTTACCGTTGGATGTGGTGAGGCGCGGATTGTGGTTTTTCTCCACGATCCGACGCCTCACATGGCGCCACGTCACCGATCCGAAGCCATCACCGTGTTTCTTCAAGGTGGTGACTTTCACCGCTTTTGTTGGACGCGGTGATTAATGCTCCAACTTTTCCAGCTCTCAAACCCTATAAATACTACTCCCCCCCCCCCATTCCAAACCACACCACCATTTTATACTTCTTTCTCCCTCCATTACTTCACTCTAGTTTCGTCCTAAGTATGCTTTGTGGTTGCGGCTAAGTCCGATCTTCCGCATCAGAAAGAATTACTAGAGTTTTTGTTTTGTCGATACTCTCTCTAGCTTTTCGGCAAAAAATGGACGAAAGGCTCTGAGAGTACGTAAATTTATTTTTTTCTTGTGTGATTTTTTTAAATGGGTGTTGAAATATAAATTGATTCGATTTCTTATTTTTTTATAGATGGGTGCTGAGATATACGACCTTTGATTGTATATCGATCCTGGCCCAAGGGATCGAAGGTATTAAACCGGGCAAGATCAACATCGCTCCCGTGCAATTTGGAACAATAATCCGGTAGACACAAAAATTATTTCATTAGTTTAAAAGTTTTTATTTTGCTTTCTATTGACTGACAACATTGTGTTTTTTGTTTTGTAGGAATCACTTATTCCCATCAGTCATCGAGGGACATGTCAATTGCCCCGTTGGCATGCTCGACTGGAGCCCTATCTAGAGAGGACGGGATTTCACATGCTGAGGCACTTCATGAGGCTTGATATTGACAACGATCTGCTGACGGCAATGGCAGAGCGATGGCGCCCCGAGCTGCATACCTTCCACTTTCCCGAGGGTGAAATGACGATCACCCTCAAAGATGTTTCCATCCTCACCAGGCTCCCGATCATGGTTGGGGGCCGTTGATTCAAGAGCGTTTGGGGTTCAACATGCCGACCACCACGCCCGTCAAAGGGGTTGGGCATCCACCACTGAATGCGGGGCAAGTATCGATCTCGTGGCTTGTTGAACACATCCAGTTGGAGGTTAATATAGGCCCGGACACTCCTGAAGATCAGGTGGAGCGGTATGCACGTGTCTACCTAATTGGCTTGGTTGGTGGGTTTCTGTTCCCCGACAAGGCAAACCGGTGGATACAAGGCATGTGGTTACCTATGCTCCTCAGTGACTGGGACGAGATTGGGAAAAAAAGTTGGGGGTCGGCCGTCTTGGCTGGGATCTACCGAGAGTTGTGTACTTTCTCGAGGCTGGGAGCGAAACAAGCTGGTGCCTGACGGAATGCCACCTCTCTGTCATCGATATCGTCCGTATCTTCCTCCTCACTGATTGATCTAAAATCTTCCTCACTTTCATCATCATTGGAGGCGAATGGATAGCTCGGCTCAGGATGGTCATCGTTACCAGCATAACCAACATCGTCTTCTTGGACATGCGAAGTACGCCTAGATCGAAGGGTGTTCTCAATGTCAGCCCACTCTGGACCCCAAGCAGGCCATTGATCACCGTCGGGCTGAACGATATCGACGGCAGTCTCAGCATGTTGCGGGTATTCTTCCCACCCAACACCTCCTTCAGAACTACCTCCTCCGTAGTTGCTTGAAGTACCACCCCAGCCATACCCTCCTGCAGAAGTACCTCCTCCGTAGTTACTTGAACTGCCACCCCAGCCATACCCTCCTGCAAAACCATCATCACAAGAATACTGGTGAGAATGAGTTTCACCGACCGGCTCGGTCTCGACATACACCTCTGCAAGCCGCACCCTGTTGTCAGATAGGAACTGTATCCTCATGTTCACCGCGTCATCATCATTTATGACAACTTTTTCGTACATGATTCCGTCAGCACTCATGTTTGGATACCGGTAAGCAATTTGACCAACTCTCCTTTGCCCGCTCGTACAAGTCTTTTCTGCACAAACGTCATGGAGTTCTTGCCACGAGAATCTCGACTCTATTTTTAGCATAGTGGATTCGCCATTTTCATAGTCAATCCCAATGTTCGAGTTTGTCACCGACCATTCCACCGACTAATAAGCTGAAACTTCTTAAATTTACCCATGTCTGCAATTTATAATAATTAAGTATAGTATATAATTAGTACATTAGGGATACAAAAACAATATCATCCAAACCCATAAACAAACGCAACTAATTGATCTATCATGAGAAAACTAAACAAATTCATTTAAATTCATAACTAACTAACATCTATCATATCATAATTAATCTAAATATCTCATAACATATTTGCCAATAACCGCAATTCACTAAATACAGACATATAATTACTAATACATCAACATGTAAACAATACATAATGATAACATACCAAATCCCGATGAGTTTCTTGTTGTTGTAAACCAACTCCAAACCAGCTGAGAAAACAACCAAAAAAACACTAATTTTTGTACTACTTTGCTGTAAGGCAGCAGGAGGGACGTGAGGGTCTGATTTTATAAGGAAATGTGCCAGCTAATCACTGCAGTGGACAATTGCGGTGAACACATCACCGCTTTTGTCCAAAACGGTGATAGCTAGGTCGCCGTGACCTAATTTTCTACCTACCAAGGCTCTAAAACATGGTCAAATATCACCGCTTTTGTCGACGGCGATGATGTGATCACCGTTTTGCACAACAGCGGTGATGCAATCACCGTTTTGGACGGCGGTGGTGATACCTTCCCCGTTGTTTTCGAAAGCGGTGTTACCTTCCCCATTGTTTTCGAACGCGATGATATCTTCCTCGTTGTTTTCGAAAGCGGTGATTGTGATCACTGTCTTCGTCTTCGACAGTAATATTGAAACTGCTGTACTTTGGAAAATAACTTTATAAGTACTGTATTTAGGGAATTTTTTTTAATAACTTGAGTATTCTGTGATTTTTTCGCCCAAAAGGTGTGAAACTTTCTTGTTGCGAGAGAATAGAAGATTCCATCTCCACCATTAAACCTGTCCAGAAACACCTTGTTTACTAGCCCTGAAATCTCCACTCCGCTTCTTGTTGCCGAGAACGAAGAGGCAGAGCTCAGAAACAACATCATCTCATCGAGACTGTCGAGTTCTGTCCAAGCATTGGTTGCTTGGTTCAGATTGTATACCCGTCCCGTAGAAACCTTCCCATGTGACCCGTGAACACTAACAGAAGCTTTCCTTTGTACTCCAACAAATGACTTCTTCGTACCAAGGTACAAGGCTTCCTTGGCAAGTTGGTAATCTTGGTGGCATGTCCCTCGCCGATGTGTCGTGGATCGTGAATGCATAGGTTTCCAGTCATTCCCATAATATAGAACAATCCTTGGTGGTAAACTGGATTACTGTAGGAATTCTTGAAATGAGTACCGTTCTTTCTTACCAGATAGCAAGTCCATTCGTTCTCTCCTCGGTAAATAGAGAAGAGCATCATAGTTCGCCGCCAAACTGAGTAGCCAAAAACCATGCAGTCGGAACGTTGGAGCAGAGGAGAAAGTGATCCCCTCCAACTCATATGTACCTAGGTCAGGCAACCCGATCCTTTCCTTGGTGAAAGGGTTGAAGAAGAAGATTTCCCCACCAAAAGTGCCTTGGGATACAAGCAACCACCCGTGGTTGGGGCAGCGAACCACGGCTCCTGTGCCGATTGAACCTGGTGGTAAAGGCAGGGTGTTGGCAGAGTTGGTTATTGGGTCGAAGAAATTGACTTGCTCGCTACTGTTGTTTCCGATGTGTACAAGGATTGGAAGTCGATGAATTTCAGCAGCTTCTCCAATCGATGCTCATTATAAAAGGTAGTTGGGCTGGAGAGCGACGATCGCCATGTTTTGCAGGCATGACCGAAGTTACAACGATCGAATCCAAATAGACGAGATT